GTGAAAAAATACAAGGGGCAGAAATGTTCATCTCAGAGCAAAGAAATTTGTACTTTTTTGATCTTCCTATGTGTAATACACAGGGCCATGAATAGGAAGACAGAGAGTTAGGTAGGCAAACTAACTTTTACTAGGAGTGCACTAAGTAGTGTTCAAAAGTAGGTTTTGCACGCACACATACTTGCTCATCATATGTAACTTAGATATATTTCCAATCCTCATATAGCAACTGTTAAGATTTTCACGGTAATGAAAAGGAACAAGAATGACACCAATGTTCTGTAGTGTATCTTATTTTAGATGGGTATTGTTATGGTTTGTGTCTAGGTGTCCTCCCAAAGCCTCACGCAGTCATGGGGCGGCTTCTGGAGTAGGTAATTCAAGATCCAATGCTGGGATTATGGGTGTTGAGTGCCACACCCGCCCTGCATAGCACATACCGGAAAGAGGCTGCCTAGCTGCTGCAGCTGCTCCTCTCCCACTTTTCCTCCACCATGAACTGCTGCCCTCTGCCACATGTCACTCTGACTTGGAGCCAGGTGAGTATAGACTGAAACATCCACGCTGTGAGCTAAATAAACCTTTCCTTTCTTAACTTTGGGTGTTCTGTTACAGAAACGAGAGAAAAGTAACCAACAGGATCTAGTAGGAAACAGCTTAGAGGCCAAGGGTTCTAAGGCATGTGATAAGAGAACATCACCACATAATCCTCAGTCAACAAAGAAGGTATTGTATTTCCAGAGTTCTCCAGCCTAATGTGAATTTAGTATAAGAATCCATCAGTGAGGCATTCCTGTAGCAACTACAAAAGAGGGGAAGAGAGTGGAATGCGGTGCTATCGCTCAGGCACCAGGCCAGGTGTACCCTCTGCATGATGTCCCACGGCCAACCTCACCAGAAAGACCCTGGCCAGACCTGAGACACAGTATCAATTACCTTAAGGAAACTGTCTTCAGGGTCGCTGAAGATACTGTCCAAACTTTCCTAGGATGCTAAGTCAACTGGAACCAGCTATAATCTAACAGCATCAAAAAGGAAAACTCTTTGAAAAAGCCAATTAAGAGCAAGTGCTAGCAATGATGAGGGACCTGTGGATACGCTGCTTGCTGTGTACTTTTGCATTTCCAATTATGCTATATATAGACATAAAAGGAATTTTGCGAGCAAAGTATTAAGACTACAAAAATAGAAAACTGAAATAGTCCTAATGGTTTGGAATGTGGTAACCGTGAACAATGGAACAGGCCACAATGTGTTATCAATAGCTTTCTATGATCTGTGGTTTCCTGCCAAGACTGACAACTGATTGCCAAGTATTACTAGAAGTAAGTTTAAACATTCCTGTCAGAGGAGCATGAACTGTTGAGCTGGGTGTGTGGCACAGCCCTCTCATCCCAGCACTCGGGGGGCTGAAGCAGGAGGGCTGCTTTGAGCTTGAGGCCAGTCAGTACTACACAGCAAGACTGTGTCTCAAAAAGTGAAACAAAGGCCCCCCGAACTACTCAAGTGGGAGAAAAAACTAAAAAACAAGAAGCTACATGTTGTATGATTTATGGAAAACTGCAGAAAGATGCAAACTATTGTGGTTTAGGGTAAAGGGATGGTTTGACTCCCTGGGGACCACAGGGAACTTTTCACAGGAATTTTACAAGTACTTACATCTGTTAAAACTATGATTAAAAAAAGTTTATAGTTACTGTATATAAATCATACTAATTTAAAAAAATAAAAAGATATAGGCAAAACCAATAAATACCTCAAAATGAAAAAAGACGTAGGCTATGCTTTACTTTCCCGTAGACTGGAGAACAACTTTTATTTTCTAGACCTAGGGCTACAACAGTATTCTGTATTTTCATTTTTTGGTATGCCTTTCAAGAAATGGAGAAAGACACCTCACCTGGCAAATGGGAGTGTGAATGCTGCCGCACCTCAGAACCTGGTGAACATTTTAAATTACACTCTGGAGAAGTCTGGCACATGGCTAAATGACACAGGAGCTGTTAAGTTCCGTCTGCGGTTATCCTACAGGCTGCTCCAGAGCTGCCGCTGGCAAGCGCTTCCGGCTCCTCTGCCTGTGTTGGCCCTTCGATTATAAACGCGTCAGCCCTGTTCCTCACATCCAGGGCTGACGGCAGCAGAGGCCCATCTAGAAGATTCTGCCTAAGAATGAGGATGATGGAAGAACAGACCCAGGTACAAGTGTGTGGCACATTTGGAGCTTATTTCTCTACCTCATCTGCCAAGACATGTCACTTGGCATTAGCAGCAGCAGCTCAGCTTCTCAGAGGTGGTGAATACATGCTTAAAAAAGGAGCAAATTAATGGACACATCTACAAAAATGAAGGTTGGGTTTACAAAACTCTGTGTATACTTATAGGCTGGGAAGTTAGCTGGCAAAGAAATTAACTTAGAAAACTATAATAAATATGATTTCTCATGAGAAGAATCATTTGTGGATTGGGTTATGCTTCACATACAGTAAGACTGATGAAACTGTGAAAAGCATCCACTTAACCTGAAATTTTGAAATGGAAAATGATACACTGTTAATTGGCCACGCAGCCTTCTCAAAAATCATGACTGTAATACAATGGAGCGGAACATTTCTGACATTTCAGTTTTATTAGTTCTGCGTTAAACACACTGGTGCAGCAGACACATTGTGGCTCCCTGTTCAACATATGCCACTTGCCATTGTTATGTATCTGTTTAGAACAATAATCTAAATTTTATTTAAAAAATCTAAAAAGCTTCCTCTACACAGTACACACAAGAAGTTTTGCATTACATCATTTTATATAAAATGTTCTGAATGACATTAGTACAACTTACTACCACTCAAGGAGTTGAGGGCTGAAATCACAAACATTTAAAGAAAGAAAACAAGTTTCACAGGAAGACCTGTGAGCTCTAGCTACAGACAGGAGATGAAATTAGGAACATGAAACAAACCTGGGGAAAAAAGGCATTCAATACTCTTAAGATACCTTAGGGGAAAAAAGTCTATTTGTAATTAGCTTAAAAAAAATGGTTCCATTTTGTTGTGCTGCTATAAAGTAACTATTAACTGACTGAACTCCAAAAAGCAATTTTTACTGCTGAGGAAGAGCTCCTCTTAGGTGAGAGAAAAGCTTTTTCTTTCCCTGAAGGTAAGAATAAAATATAGTTGGGAGTTTGTTCAGAGATTGCTTGTGAACTTTTCGGACTAGGACATTTTAGTGACTTATTTATTTCTACTCTTCCACAAAAGGGGTTAGAATTGTAAAACCAGAATTACTAGGAGGTTTGGCACCCTGTTAACATCTGTTTGAAGCTACTGACTGACGGAGTCTACTTCATGTGGCTATTGATTATCCATAGTACCCTTTTTTGGCACTTTAGCGGACATTTAAAAGAAAAAGTATGAGATCTGCAATGTAACTATTAAAAAAGAGAGTAAGACTGAACTATAGCCAGTAACCAAGACAGAACTGAAAATCTCAAGGAAATTATTCTACACAAACAAGAACTGCACTTGGCAGCATGACTCAATCTATGATTTTCTTCCACTTACTATTTGGTTATTGTAGGAAGCACCTGTACATAATAATAATAACAATAATAATAATAACTGTCCAGAAATAAAATTTGAAATCTCCAATGCTAAGCCCTAATGGAAGAATCAGGCCTTATTACTCATGCTTGTGGAGGAGGGTTTTTTTTTGCAGAGCTAGGGATTGAATTCAGGCCCTTTTATTCTACCGAGCTATCTCCCCGGCCCCAACCACTCATGCTTGAATAGCTCATGCTCTATGTGCCCAATGATAATGGCAGCCAGGTAGTGACAATTTTTTGGAAATAATAACCCTCCCCTTTTTTTTGGACAGTATAGCTTGCCCTGAGGGTAGGGCTGGTGGCATGTGGTGCTGGGGATCGAACTGTGGTCCCTTGTGTCTGGGTAAGCTTGCCTAAGCAGATGCTTTAGACCACTGAGCTACCTTGCCGGCCTCAATCTCCCTTTGATTTAAATTAAGTGATGAAAGATATTTAGTTCCCATAAACTTTCTAATTATAATTTTGAAGAAGCTAAAAATGACACGGTTTTATACAAACTGTCCTTTACCTTTATTGCTTGTATACACAAGGGAATCCATTATAAAACTCAGTGGGAGGAAAAAATATAATGGAAGAAAAAGCTACCTGCTTTAGTATTTTTAAGCATAGTTTGGTAACTTCTTAGATCAATTTTCTGACCTGAAACAGAGCAAAAACTACAACACAATCATGACAGCATTCTAATAATCAGAGCAATTATATTTTCATTTTTATTTTCTCTTCATAAAACATTAATGCTATAAAAATGAGACAGATGACATCCTTATTTAAAATACATCCCTTTACTGGTATCAAAATGTGACTTATTTTAATACCAACTTAAAAAATAGTTCTGAGTAGTATTATTTGCATGATATTATTAAATTATTTTGAAGGCTGGTAGCAAAGTTATCATTAACAATATAAATATTCTCTTTATAAGTGTTGAAATTCTCTTTAAAAATGTTGAAAGGCAGCCCGCATTCCAGAATAGGCTTGCGAGGAAATCAATTATTCCAGTATCAAGGGCAAGTAGGATATTACTCCTTTAGCTTCTTTACTAATTTCACCTGGTTTAGTCCTCATTGATGGCAAGACTTTTAATGGGAATAGTTTTATTTTCCTTTAGTTCTCTGTAGCGCTTTTTATATAGTCAAATAATCCAATAATCATTGCTGGAAGGAATGATCATTTAAGCTAGATCATGTTTTTCAGCCTTTTAATGTTATGAGGAGATACTAATATTAGATTCTTAAAAGCTTTACAGTTTTAACACACGTACAAAATTAAAAATATTTATGCCTTGTTGGGCCCAACCTAGGAACTTCAGCCACTGTATTAAAAAAAAAAAAAAAGAAAAAAGAAAAGAAAAGAAAGTAAGTTTGAGATGTAGCTCAGTGTGAAGACCCTGGGTTCAATCTCCCAGTATAACCAAAATTAAAAAGAGAAAGAAAAAGAGAGTGACAGAGAGAACTCCATTTGTTCAACAAATAATTTTTAGTCTAACAGAAAGTGGTTAAATTGCTCTTGTTAAATACAGCAGCCACCACTTACCTTTAAATATTTTACAGATGGAACTAAGTTTAGTACTGATCCCAGGAAGTGCTGTCACTCTGAACCAACCTAAAGATTCTGTGTCTGCAGGACACCACCAATTATTCTAGATTTATAATACCCTGTCTTTAACTTGGTGTATATATCACCTATTGGGAAAAAAATATTAGTTTTTTTTTTTTTTTTTTTTTTTTGAGATGATACAAGAACATACGCATCTTGAGGTTCCACCTCTAATATGGGAAATAAGAGGACGCGTGCACTGGCGGCCGGTCTGAGCCCACCAGTCTGAGCCCGGGTTCTGTCAGGCTAGCCTTCCCACAATGCACGCGCATACAGCCACAGCCACCACATCTGTCTGAAGTTGAGTCATGCTGCTCCTCTAAGTTGCAGATCTCATCACAGGCAAAGAGATGGCAGAAGTGCAGGTTCACCATGATAAGAAAATACACCACGGAACAAATGCAGCACAACAGGCAGCTGGCATTCAGAACACGCCAAAAGCTAACACTCATGAGTTGTCATAAAGGTTTTTCTTTTCTTAAAAAAAAAAGTCTTTTTCCATGTTTTCTAAAATGTAGCGGTCCCAGAGAATCATGAAGTGCCTTGCCGTTTTTGTTGTTGACTTCTGATGACATCTAGTTGTTTTTTGCATTGCTGGTAGTAAGTAGAAAGACTTTTGTTTTCATCTAAAAGCTTTTTATGTTCCTGTACCAGACGAGATGTATTTTGCTGGTCCTTTTCATCCTGGTCCAATTCTGCAACTAGTTCTTGCCTAAAAACAAAACAAAAACACCAACATAACAAATATTACACATGATGGAAAACTCACAACTTCCTAGGTCACAAAGAACTAAAAGAACTTTTATTCTGAGTCTATCATTCTGCATCGTAAGTATGCTACTGAAACTGAGTTGTGAGCCACAGTGGGAATGGCCACCCACTCCTCTGGTGTAGCTAAGTAAACACCGTAATTCTTTCAATGAGTAGCTGTACTCAGACTAGTGACGCAGAGTTTCAAAGCTTTTATTTGATATCTTTTGTGGGAAGAGGAAGAAAAGACTCTTATTAGGATACAGGAAAGTATGACTTTAAATTTTTATAATTCACATTCTACTTTTACACTTACTCATATTCTGAAATCACAATCCAATTGAACTACAGTGCTGAGCAGTAACTCAAAGAACTTCTGCAAGCTAATTAAAAGAGACACTATCCAAGTTAAAGTCCTTTTCTGTCTTAAAACAGTAAGAATGAGACCAAATTCTACATTTAAACCAGTTAGGTTTATGAACATTTTCAAGTAAGATCATCAGTGTTGTTGGATGAAAGGGATTTCCCTTTTATTTGGGTGATAAAATAAACATGAGCTTATTGTGAGGCAACTGGGCATAAATAATAAAAAGTTATAAATAACTGCATGATATTTCTCGTTCAAGTACTTAAGCTGATTAAGACTGTCAGTTTTCACATCCCCCACATTCACTATTTGTATTTTTCTAGCACAGACCTCATCTTTGAAATGATTAAGTATGACAAAAAGATATGTTAAATATGTGAAATAAGAAACACAGTTTTTTTCCCCAATAAAAAAACCCCAGCAGTTCCACAATTATTTCTGCAATTTCTAAACAATAATATTTAATTTCCTACTTAGGCTTACTTAAGATACCAAGTTGATTTCACTTGTACTATTATGGTTAAGAAATTCTGTGATCAGCCTATTTTTCTCTTTTTAAGTGTATTTGGTCGTTGCAGTGTCTCCTTACATAGCTCAGACTTGTGGTGATCCTCCTGCTGAAGGCGCTGAGGTTACAGGCGTGCACCACCATGCCCGGACTCTGGCTGGCTCAGCCAGCTCTGGGGAAAGGGCTGGTGGGGCAGGTGGTGCTGGTGATTGAACTGCGGTCCCTGTGCTTGTCTAAGCTTGCCTAAGTAGGCGCTCTGGTCAGCAGACCTATCTCACTAGCCCCTATTTCTCTTTTATTTTGAATTATAAACAAAACTTTTCACAAATTATTTAGAAAAAAAATTCATTAATTTAGATTAATAGATGGAATTACATTGCCTTAGATACAGTTGCCATGACTATTTTTCCTACACAATTTGATTTCAGTTACCATTCATAAACTGGCTTCAGGCCAGGGAAACAGCTTAGTGGATTAAGTGCTTGCCTGGCAAACGCAAGGTCCTGAGTTCGATCCCTGGTACCACCTATAAGCTGGCTTCATAAGCATAAAATTTTGTGCCAGTTAAGACTAGGAAAACAAATTTTTCTTTTCCTTTTATTAAGAGAACTGTATATAGTAGAGTAGAAGCTGGACTAAATTTCTTAAAAACGGGAGGAAGGTAGTTTCTATGCTTCTCAGAAAAACACACAGTAGTATAAAGTTCTCTAAAACAGCTGTCACAGATATGCCTGTGACTTATCTAGTGTCCTGCAACAAATAATACCACTCTCTTAAGCTTAAGCACATCATAGGAAAGAACAGATCTACAAAAATGCTGTTAGTAACCCAACTGTAAGGAAACAAATTTTGCTAACAAAGAATCTAACTGTAAAATCCTGGGAACATAAAGACACTTGGGTATACAGCACCAGTTTAGTTTCCTTAACACTAATGTAACATGACATAGTCAAAAAAAGTTGAATTTTGTATAGAAATAGTCAAAGGGTGCTTAACTTACAATAAATCTCTACCTGAAAATATATTTAATGACTAATTCTAAAATTAAAGTTTTCATGTCTTCAATTAATGTTGCCTTAATATACTTTAATTAAAGTATATTAAACTCAAACTACTAAAGTATTTTAAACTCAAAATACTTCCCCAGTTCCACCAAAAAAGCAAACAAACAAACAAACAAAAAAAAAACCCTCAAAATACTAATATATACTTTTTAAAGACTTACTTTCTCTGTAATAACAATGCAATTTCTGTTTGAACTTTCATATATTCTTGTGCCATTTTACAATGCTGTTCAAACACTGCCATGGACTCTTTGGAGTTTGGACACGGCGCTAGAGGCTGAAAACAAATCAGGAATGTTAAAAACACACTTAAGTCAAATCTCAGTATATGGGATGAGAGTGAAGACAGATACTGTGATATATTTTTATAGCAATGAAGCAACAATCTTTTAAAAATAAGTGTTAAGCCCTGTCCTAGAATATCGGGCCCTTCTGTCAGTTAGCTCAGAGCGAGCGCTCCCAGCTTCTGCAATGGTGTCTCAGGCTGCTGACCACTCTGGCTATGTGGCCCGGGCTGGCCTGACTGGGTTCCACCTCCCTGCGCCTTGATGGATGGGATTCCAGGTGAGGCCCGGTGTGGCCCCAAGAAAGGCTTGCAGCTCATGCGCACAAAGAGGTACTGAAGTATGTTACTTACATTTTCAGTCACTCTGAATATAAGAATGCATCACCACTTGTATTTAATAGGGAGAAGCTTATGAGTTTTACATTTTATGCACTAAAATTAAAGAGTGAAAATAAAATACTATGCTTGGCAGCTCAGAAAAAGATATAGAACTATTTTAAGATGAGCTTTAGGATAAGAATATGTAATTCCACCACTCTTAAGTAATATTAACTTAGCTAAAAGTCATTTATTTTGATTTTAAAGTTTAGGAGGTGGACTATAAGCATAGACATACAATGACAAACAGGAACACAATTGCCAGCTTCAACAATAAAACTCCTATGAGGTGTGGTGGCCTATGCCTGCAATCTCAGCACTTGGGAGGCTGAGGCAGGACGACCACCATAAATTTGAGGCCAGGATACATAATACAAAACCAAACAGAAGGGGCCAAGAATATAGATCAGCGGCACAGCACCTGTCTGGCAAGCACAAAGTCCTGAGTTTTAATTGCTGGTACCAACCCCCTACCAAAAAAAAAAAAAAAAAAAAGAAAAACAACCAAAAAGCAAGCAAACAAACAAAAAGCCCAAAATAGAACCAGCTTTAACTACATGGGAGACCCTGTCTTAAGACCAAACCAAACCAAACCAACACATAAAACAAATATCCACTGAAAAAGTACACATCTACCTGTAGCTGGTGATCCAGTGTGAGATAAGCCATTGGGATGGAGTTATCTGATCCATTGGTATCTGGAATTCAAACACATACTTTATTTCCTATTATAAATAACTGCAAACAGCAGCAAGAATACATGCAGGAGATATCGCATCCCCACCCTGAAGAAGTTATCATTAAATAAAGATATTGCTGTTAGTAATGAAAAAGGTCAATTTTTAATTCTACAGGTAAAAGGAGGCATGGATTACAGGTACAGTCATAGTTTGCAACATAAGTTTAACTATAAACTGGACAGAACACAATGTATTTGTATACTCCTTTAATTAAAAAACAAAACAGTGATACAGGACCTTTCTATTTTATTTTTTTTTTTTGTGGAACTGGGGATTGAACTCAGGCCCTTGCACTTGCCAGGGAAGTGCTTAGTCCACTGAGCCATCTCCCTGGCCCGGGACCTTTCCATTTTAAATTCAGTCTTAAATGACCCTACCTAATCAAACCCTGCATCTCTTTCTTTATCATGCTAAATTTTTCACAGCGCACAGAACTGTCAACATCAGTGTGAGCAGGAAAGGCACAAGAGCGAGCTTTCCCTCCTGGTAGGTCACTTCCAATTTAAAGAGACTCTCATGTAAGCCCTCCTGATGGGAATCAAAGCAGAAAAGAAAGCCAGTAAGAACATATAACAAACACAAACATATGGACACAAAACGGAGGCTTAGAACTGTGGCTTCATGTCATTCATGCCACACAGAGTTAAACTGGCCAGTTCAAACTACCCCAGTAAACTTAAACAAATAATTTGAATCAACAGCTTTTGTTTATATTTCAAAAGAGGTAAAACTGCTGCAACTTGAGTGTTTAAGACCAAATAACATCTTAGTTTACTGATGATGGATACTCTGATGATTGATATTTGTTTAAATTTTGCAATACTAGGGATGAAACCCAGGGCTTTGATACCACTCAGCTGCACCTTATTCCATTCCTCTCTTTCTCTTTTTTTCCTTTCTTTGACATTAAGAATGTGCTTACAAGTAGTCACAAAAGCTGACTTACACCAGCGCGCATGGGATACAATCATGCATAAAAAGAACACGATGTAATGCTGGTATGCACCAAGCAAAAGCACCTGTGGTGTAATAACTATGATCATTAATGGAGGAGGCAATTTTAAATAGTCATGTTCCACAGAGAAAGAATGGTAGGCCTGGCAGAGCCTCAGCCTAAAAATATAATAACATAAATGTTTGTTCAAGTACTAAACAAGAAGTATACTTGCTGTTTCTCCAACCAGCCTTCTCGTAACCCAGAATAACAGTTTCAAGCTACCCTCCTTCTCATTTCTGTAAAACCGAAACTGAGGGCTGGAGATATAGCTCAGTGGTGGAGCACTTGCCTAGCATGCACAAAGCTGAGTTCAATCCCCAGCAGCACCACAAAAACAAAACAAAACTGAGTAAAAAATGACATTCCCTGACTTCACAGGAAAAATTAAGTATCTTGAAAAAGTTTTCTCAATTTAACATTTCTACTTCTTTTACTCTTTCCTAAACTACTGATACCTAAACATCTCATTATATCAGTAATCAGTATGTATCTGAAATGTATTTTAGCATTAAGTATAATACACCAATGTTTCACAGTATACTGGGGATGAAGAAAAGCCCAAGCACTAGGTTATTCAAATAAAGTCCTTCCATGGTGGGCAATTTAAATTTACTGAAGTTCAACTGTTTTCCTAAAATGAAGAAGTGGGGTTTACTTTCTCATATATAGCTAAACTAAAAATTGAACTTTAACTGGTCATAAGATAGCAACAGTACTGAGAGTTTTCTCTTTTAATGTTTCATTGAAAATCAAATCTAAACTCTTCTCCTGAATGTTAAGACTCACACTGGCTTGGTAAAATCAGGCAGAATTCATTTCCTGGTTCCCTCATCACACATGTACTAGGATCACATGTTCTTGAAGTGTGCATTTCCTTTATGTGAAATGCTGCCTTCTTCTTCCTGCTTTACGACTAAAGAAACTAAAGGTATGGCAGGACTTACGACAGGTAGCATTTGATTTCTCTCTTACTGAAACACTCAATACCATAAACTTAGAAGTTATCATATACTTTGACGAGTTCATATTACTGTGTATGGAGATTCTAATCAAGATTACAAAGACTGGGCCATACTTGACATATCTGTTTTTGCACACAAGTACTGAGAACACAGAGACACTCTTTAGTGAGTGGTACCCTGTGGTATTGCTAGGTACCAGAAAAGGGGTAAAGGCATACATGAAGAGAAAACAGAAGAGTTGACTGTAGTCCCATAAACTAACAATGTGCCATACTGCTAATTCGCATGTCTAGGTTGGTCTATGTTGAAGCTAGGGATCTTTGCCAAGCTGAGTACTGAACCTAGGCAAATGCTGTGCTGGCAGGAAAGTGCTCCCTTGGTTCAAGAACCAAAAGCACTGGTATCACCTGAGTGCTACTGGCGGCATGTGGCAAGAGCATGTTCCTCTCCACATGTCTCCCTGCCTACGACAACTCCTACACATGAGCTGAGCAGTGCTGGGGACGCAACTCAGAAGTTTCTGCCACCACTAAATTTAAACATACTAAAAGCAGAGAGTACGCCCCAGGCTAAAGATAGTTCTGACTTACATGACACAGAGGAAAACCACCCGGTTAATTTTTTAAATTAAATTATAAACTTGACAAAACCTTGCCAAATTATCTATAAATAATTAAGTCATATTTTAGTTTGTGAATTTAGAAAGCTGACTTAAATTTCAATTTTATTGCAACTATTAATAACAGAGTTGATCTTATATAAAATCCTAAGTGGCTTAATTTTCCAAGGTTTAAGAAATCACCTTTCCCTGACTTAATATAAATAAAAATTATAAATTAAATGTAAAATATAAATTAAAAACATAAATTAAAAATTGAAGTGTGTTGCTGAGTATTTATTAAGGCATTCTCCTAATGACAGGGAGCAGTCTGCGCTACTGCAACACGCCACTTACTGCAGGCCCGCCGTGGGTCTGCTCCATCACTGCCTCCAGACAGCAAGCTTTTAATACTAGTAATGTGGTAAGCTAGTCATGCTAGCACTAAATAGCTAATTCCATTTGGAAACTGAAACGTCTATGTAATGCTTGTTTTTGTAAAGATGAATGACGGGGCTAAATGAACATCAACACAATGCATTCAATTTCCTACTGCAATGAAGAACTAGACTGGTCACCTGTGGAATCGTCAGGCGTCCATGGATGACTTCGAGTCGGCTTTTCTGAGGCTGGCCCTGAGGTAGAGATTGTTCTGACACTAGGACTGGATGACCTACTGCTCACCTACAGGAAGGAACAAAACAGGATTCTTGATTACACTCCTAAAAAAAATAAACCCACCAAGTATTATACACACATATCTAAAATGTTACATGTATTCACACAGGACACCTTTTCAAAATGGCTCAGCTTGCAAGCAAGTAAAATACTCTGGTAATCAGAGAATCAAGAAAGCAGAAGGACCAACACTAGGGGGATTTCAAAGGAATGAGCCTGGAGCTTTTCGTTTGATTGCTGGATGCACTGACAGGAATAGAGCAAACTCTTGGGTCTTCATAATATGGGAATATGATGAGAAACTTCTACCTATGGCTCAACTTAGGGAAGGCTTTATTCTCTGACCAAGAGTCAATTAGGAAAAGCAAAGTAGTAAATCGGTATTTACCATGGCTGTAGAAAGAAGTGTGAAAATGTACATGATGTGTAGCGTATAAAAATTTTAGTAGCGAAATAAAAAAGATTGTAGCAAACAGGAGAGACTTTATGGAGATGGGAAAGGGATCTGGGGATAGAGGAAGAAGAGGCAGAGAGACAGAAGAGAGGATATAAGAAGGACCAAGGTGTGATGTGAACCAATGCACCATGATAACAGTACTTATCATGTATCATAAACACATTAATGAAGAAAAAGGAAGGAACAAACAAGTCTAAGAAAATTTCCTGAATCTACAAATGATATAACAATCCCAAATAATTACAATTTCCAGCACAAAAGGGAAAAAACTCACATCCTGCACATACACAAATTCTAAGACAGACAAAAAATAGAAAAAGTAGATGCAGGGGGAGAGACATATCACAGGGTGAACATGCCTGTTCTAAATTTGAAATGAGAAATGCTCTGAAACTTGGACCATAATACCAGAAGTAGAAAATTCCACACCTGACCTCATGGGATATGTCACAGTCAAAACACAAATATGCTAAAAATGACATTACAGTTTTTTACCTTAAAGCTCTCTTTAAGGGCTATCTATCATTCACCTGCCTGGTAAGTGCAACATCCTGACTTTGACTCTTGGTATAACAACAACAACAACAACAACAACAACAACAACAACAACAACAACAACAACAACATCATTCTCCACTGCTACCTACCTATACATTACATGATACATATGAAACATAAATGAATTTCACATCCAGACTTAAGTCTTACCCCCAAGATGTCTTATTATAATTATGCAAATATCCCAAAATCTGAAAAAAAATCTGAGCTCTGAAATGTAACTGGTTCCATACATTTTGGAAAAGTATACTGATTTCGTATTTACAAAATAATATGAGTTAAATTCTCTATGGTCATAACATAAAACAAACCAGCAAAAAAGTAGAATAATATCTATTAAGTGCAGACAGAAAATTTACTGCCAACTTAGAATAGTTTAGGCAACAACAATGTAAAGACTGGTCAAAACTCTTAGAGAAGCAAAACTGAATTTACTAGCCTTGAGCTGTAGCTATCTCTATGTACTACACTTCAGAAGAAAACAAACTTCCCCTTGATGAAAGAGCCAAGATGCCATTGGGAACATTAATGAAGCAGGCATAGGGCCGGACAAACAGCTCAGTGGATTAAAGCACCTGCAAGCAGGGGCAGGGGCCGGGGATTCGACTCCCAGGTCTGCTGTGCCAGCCCTGCCCCCAGGGTGCACTGAGACAGCAACTGAGACTGGGTGTGGAGGTGCACCCCTATAATCCCAGCTCTTGGGAGGCTGTGAACAGGCGGATCACTATGAGTCCGATATTGCAGTGAGACCTTGAACACCCTGTAGATCTTTCCTTAGAATTGAATAAAAAAAAAAGAAAAAAGGCGTAAGTCTACATACTGAAAATATGAAGTAACAGAAACAGAGATTAATTTATAGAATTACCAGGATAAGTAAGATAGTAATGAACTTCTGAATAACCACAGCATAAGCAAGAAGAACACTGATTTTAAAATCTGATTATTGCTTAGGATGAATAAAGATTTTAAGTTGAGAAAAATTTTAGAAGTATTTGTTGTAAGTAGTAAAGTGTAACTCTGAAACAAAAATAGGAACAGAAATATATTTATTCATTTCAAAAGATGGCAAAGGAGAAAATTAATAAAATAAGGAGAAAACAGTAAAAATAACAAATGCAAATGGGTTATACTCCAGTTAAGATATTAAACAGAAAAAACAGGTTGCCATATTGAATTAAATCTGTTTCTAAGAGATCTAATTCAGGGAAAGAAAATCAAGTTTAAAAAATAACCAAGTAAAACTATTCAGACTAAAATTAAATGGCTATATTAGTATTACAGAGAATACATTATAGGACAATAAATTGCTAGAGAAAGATTTAAAAATATGGTTTAACTCCAGTTATTTCACAATGTATATACACTACTCACACACAATTCCAGGAAGTAAAGCTAAAAGCCAAACCAAAATAAACACTGCCAGGAGAAAGGGACACATCCATCATCAAAGCGAGACACCTGAATGCTTTTCTATGAAGGATACATAAAAGCAGGCCTAAATCCAAAAACAGATACCGTCAAGCCTCAACTCTGCACAAGAAACAGCCCTAGGCCAAGCAAATGAACAAAGGCATTTCTTTTCAGTCCTTAGAAAATACTTATCAAAACTGATCAGGCACTAAGCTATAAAGTAAATCTAAAGAAAAACAAAACAAGCCTATAACATATAAATCATAATACAGCTATCCTTTGTACTGACTTAAAATTAACATCAAAAATTCTATGGCTAGAAGTATAAAACACTTCTAACTAACTCACTGATCAAAGAAAACAAAATGAAAATTAGAAAATATCAAACTGAATTTTAACATCAAGTTAAAACTTGTGGGATGCAAGCTAAAGAGACACCAAGAGTAAAACATTTAATTCTAAATATTTACCGTGAACACCAGAGCACACTGACAGCGTGCAAGCAGGGATCCAACCTACAGGCACCCAAGCACCAAGCTACGAGCCTCCCCAAAGAAAGTAAAATATCTTATAAAACTGAGCAAACATAAAAATTCTATGCTCAATGAATTAAAAAAAGTGAAAATGATAAATCCTCAAAAATACATAAATTACCAAAATTTATATATATATCAGACAAAATAGCAAGCCCAGAGGGTTTTGCAAGTAAATTTTATCAAGTATTCAAGAAAATGACATTTCCAGCCTTATTCTATAAAAGAGAAAAGAGAAAATACTTCCTGGCTCACTGTGTGAAGGCAATAAAATCTGGTCAATGAACAAGGACAGTATAAGAAAAACTGTTAGGGCCGACAAGATAGCTCAGTGGCCTGAAGTGCCTGCTTAGGCCAGTGCAGGGACCACAGTTCAATCCCTGGCACCACATGCCGCACCAGCCCTGCGCTCAGGGTGGGCTGAGCAGGCCAAAACAAAACAAAAAAAGAACAAAAAAAAAAAAAAAAAAAAAAAAAAGAAAGAAAAAGAAAAACTAGCCTCCTTCATGAAAAAAGGCAAAAGCCCTCAAAGATTTATGACCACATG